TGCACCACACTGTACGGAACCTCATGGACGCCAGAAGAGAGTATTAGATCCCCCAGAATTGGAGTTACAGGCAGTTGTGAGCCTCCATGTAGATTCTGGGGACCAAGCCTTGGGTCCTATGCAAGAGCAATAAATGCTCCTAACTGCTGAGCCATCTCTCTAGCTTTCCCTCTGCCACTGTCAGGTAAAAATAAATAAAAACAAAACAAAAACAAAAAACACTTCTCCTCACAGCCCTGGCTTACCAAGCCATGGGCCCCTGTTCTGTGGGCTTGAGACTGGTATTCTCCGGGGTGCTATAATTGTAAAACAACAAAACGAAACAAACTCTATGTAGCTCAACTTTCTGTGTTCAGTGAAAGGAATGGCCAGATCCATGACTGAGGAGAGTTCACTGTGGATGCAGCCCCTTCTGAAGCTGGACCTTCTGCTGGGCCATCATATAGGCAGACCCTCCTAGGGGGCCAGGCCTGCCCTCTGCTCAGAAGTGACCCCTGGCTGCAGTTGGCCTGTCTGTACATGCAGCTGTCTGTGCTGGCCCAGCCCCGGTGCCAGGGCCCTTCCAGTGAGCTCTGTCGCTTCCACTATTATATCTGCTCTGCTGCGCCGTCAGCACCCAGGACTCCCTAGGGAGAGGCCTGAAGCGGCACTGGCCCGTCACTGACCCTTGTGCCAAGAGGAGTTGCTAAGCTCTGACAATAATCCCTTTCCCTCCTGTTTGGAGCTACATGCCCAAGTCCTTGGCCACTCCCTGCCTGGGAGTCTCCTGCCCTGGGCTCCTGGGTAACCCAGCCTAGATAAAAGCACCTGCTCTGAGTTGGTCAGACCTGTGCTGAAGACAGGTTCTGCCTCTCTTGAGTTCTGGGACCTGGGAGGAGACAGAGAATACTCTCTTAAGCTTTTATCATCCCACCTGGAAAAAGGGGGGGAAGTGTCACCCCACTGCTTGTTGTGAAGCAACCTGAGCTGAAGCTAAGTGCCTGTTGGTTTATGGCTCTAAAGTCTGACCCTTCCTGTTGGACGAGACCACAATAACTGTCTGCCCCTCTAGCTGGCCTGGCCTGAAAACCCCAGTGCTGCTGAGGACTGGGAAGTCAGACTGAACTCTAACAAGGCCTTGGTTTGCTGACTTTTAATCTCTTCTTTCCTTTCTCCGTGCCGACTGTGATAGGTGAGCTGAGCCTGGATCATGTATCCTCTGCAACCCTTCTGGGGGACACCTGACTACCCAACAGTGCAATGGCATCCAGCAGACCGGTACAGGAAGTCCATCCCGTACCGGGGACTCCAGCCCGCCACCTACCGGAGAAGTTCCTGGTGGCCAGCATAGTGGTGAGGATGGCTCCCTGCAACAGACAAGATGGGGGCCCAAGAAGAGGTACAGGTGAGGGGGGGAGCGTAGAAGGAACAGAAGGGCACGGGGAAGAGCAGGGCAGTGTGCTCTTCAGAGACAAGCCAAAGCCTCTGCCCCTGCCCCCTCCATTTGACCCCCACCCCACCCTCTAGCCCAGAGCCCATCCGCCCTCCCCTGGAGGAGTAGCTTTGGCAGGCACAGGTCTTGAGACAGGAGCAGACGTTAATAGTTCCCGCGGTCTGGCCCAAACGAGTAGACTCCAAAACACTCGAGCAGGGGCTCCTAACGGCTACAGAAGTTTCCTGCCTAGGTCGGGAAGGCCAACTGGGCTCGGGCTGCTCTAGGCTTGGGGGACCTGGCTCTGGAATCAGTCCTTCCCTCCACGGCCCCTGGACCATAGCCTGGAGAATATCAACTTGGAGAAGTGCCCCCTGTGGGTGAGGGGCTGGAAACCAGGGCCCAATGGGTCTCATTAAGACCTGACTCAGACCACCTCCAGATCCAACAGCCCCTCAAGTTAAGAATCCCAGATTCCCACACTGGGAATCTTCCTTCTTCTGGGACACCTCCCACGGTGGGTGGGAGTGGGGACTCAGTTTATCTGGCATAGTGCCAGTCGTCACCCTGTAGGTTCAAGTCCCCATCCTGAGCCTCCGTCCCAGGTCCGGGAGCAGCAGGTAAGGGAGGTCCCAGTGAGCCAAGGCCTCCACATCGGCCACCGTCAGTGTCCCCATCAAGCACGCTGACGGCTAGCTGTCCTAGAGAAGCCTTCTTAGCCTGCCCAGTGCAGGACCTGCTGAGAAGACTCAGCTCAGGACCCACCTTGATTCCATAGTGACTTTCTCAGGACCCCCCCCCCCCCCCCAACCTATCTCTGACGGACTCATTCATTCTTCCTCCATGTTCAACAACTGAGATTCTCTCTCTCTCTCTCAACTGTGGTTTCATGTCTGGTCACATGTTGCGCCCCCCCTCCCCCCCCAAAAAAAACTCTCTTAAACCATTCCTGGTTCCCTAGAGAATAGTGCTCACGCTTGCAGACATCTGTACAGGCCATGCTGTCTGGAACACGCCCCCCCCCCCCCCCCCCCCCCCCCCCCCCCCGCCCTTGTCACTCTACACCTCTTTGTCCTGAAGAGTCAACTCAAACGCCACTGCCTCCAGGAAGGGCTCTTGAAATCCTTCCCAGAATCCTCCAGACCAGGGAACTCCATCCCCCTGCTGTGTTACCCACCGTTGGGCACAGTACTCACCATGCCCCAGCAGAGTCCTGCTTATCTGACCCCTCAGTCAGAGTGCAGACAGGGTGGGGTGGGGTCAGACTGGCTGCTTGCTCCCCCAAACCCTTGGTGGCCAGGGTGCAAGAGTGTCCGGTAAACACACAGGAAAGGGGAGGAGCTAGTGGGTCCAGGGACGCCAAGGATCAGGACCGGTTACCTTCAGTTTCCTCCGGGCATTGAACTTCTTCAGGCAGTCCACGGTCTCCTGTCTGTGCATGCAGGAGGCCACGGTGGAGCGGTGCTGGAGAGAGGATGAGAACTGTGTGAGCAGAAGGCCTGTGGGAGGACAGACCAACCCAGTCCTTCACCCTGCCACATGGGATGGGGTGGTTAGGATCCTGGCACCAGTCAGCCAATGCCAGTGACATGCCCCAAGATGATGCCAACCCGGAATATCCCTCATTTCTATATTGCCCCTGAGACCCACAGCGAGCCAGAGATTCTTGGATAAAGCCCCCTTGTAGTGGGTAGCCATTCCAGCTTTGATCTGGAAGTTCCAACCCCTATTCAGGCTTCGGTAACTGTCACGCCTACAAGGCAGGGCCGAGAGAGGACCCTGAAGACCTGAGATCCGGATGCACTGGCCCTCTTGGTTCCTGGACCCTGGACGCTGGAGGTAGACCAAGCAGAGTTCTCCAGAGAACACCGCCAGACTGCGCTACGTCTTCCCCAGACCCTGTAACCTACCTATTCCTTCACTTGTAAGTTGCCCCACAAAATAAACCTCCCTTTTAACTACGTGGAGTGGCCTTAATAATTTCACCAATACCCCCTCAAGCCTACACTGAGGCCGTGGGGTGAAGGACAAGACCCTGAGGGACCAGGCCTCCCTGCCTGGGCTGGGCTGAAAAAGTCTCACCGAGATCCAGGGGTGCTTGAGAGCCTCGGCGGCCGTGATGCGCTTGGACGGGTTGATGGTCAGCATCTTATTGATGAGATCCTTGGCTTCCGGGGTGACGGTGTCCCATTCCGGTGATGGGAACTGGAAGGGGCAGAGGGGCCAGGTTTGCCTAGCCTGCCCCAGGCCACCCCTGCGATTCTCCAGCCCCTGACTGGCAGGGGAGCAGGCAGGGGTTCTCATGCTCAACCACTCAGACATCCACGAGACACTTAGAAGCATGGGCGCCAGACCCTACTGCGAACTCTAGTCCCAGTCACTGAAGTCTCTTTGTCCTCAACCTCTCTGTGTGTATAATGAAGGGTAATAGATTATGACTGGGATGATGGTTCCATGTGATAATACATGGAAAATATTCAGAGGAGTGAGACAGAAGTGCTCAGTTATTTTAATATAAGGAGGGAAAAAAAAAAGCATGTCTCAGAGTCAGGTATGACGGGAGACAGCACTTGGGAGTTGGGATAGGAGAATAAGGAGGCCTTGGCTACATAGTGACTCTCAGACTACCCTGGTCTCATGAGACATTATCTTTTTTCAATTAATTAATTCATTAATTATAAATACCTAAGTAAAAATGCTTGGGGCTTGTTCCTTGTCTCTACCTTCCAGTGCTCCATGGAATAAATTCTATGACTTTTAGACCCTAAATCACTAGGCACCACGTGGCCATAGCCTGACTCAGCAGGTCAGTCTTGGAGCAACCCTGACTGAGCAGTAGAGAGCAGTGGTGTGTCCCCAGATCTCTGACCTCCTAGGCTACTGGTTCCCATCAGAAGGGAGCATCAGCTGGAGAGGGGAGCAACACTCACATCATAGGCACCAGCTTTGATCTGCTGGTACAGGCGGTGCTGGTCCTCGTCCCAGAACGGGGGGTACCCAACCAGCAAGATGTACAGGATGACCCCTGGGGAGAGGAGCAGGAGAGGAGAGATGAGGCAGGAGAGTGAGGAAAGTGGAGAGGGACCTACAGGCCCGGGTGACAGTTAGGCCTTCAGATGGACTTACCGCAGGCCCACAGGTCCACAGGCTTCCCGTACGGGTCCTTCCGCAGCACTTCTGGGGAGAGGTATCCAGGTGTCCCTGCGAACCCTGCTCCCCAGACACACAGACAGGCAGACACACACACAGAGGTTGGCACGTGAGTAGCCTGGAGCAAGACCCTGCAGGAGAGGGGACGAGGATAGCCCTGGAGCTGGAGAACACAGCCCTGCCCCAAAGCTGGGGTTGTACTGTGCAAACCCAGGGGTCTTGGTAAGCTGATGAGGCCTGTGCACCAGACTGGACCAGACAGGTAGATAGCATCCCTGCCTTCTACTCCCCATCCAGAGCCTCAGGTAGACAACAGTAATCAATCACAGAGCTCCTTTCTCTATGGGTCCCAACCTTCCCTGTAGCCATCACCTACCACTTGCTGGTGGCCTTTAAGAGCTGATCCATTGCCCATACCCTATACTCTGTTCAAGGGCTGTTCATGAGGTGACAGAGATTTGGTCCTAACTCTGGCTAAATTGTGTGTGTGTGTGTGTGTGTGTGGTGTGGTGTGTGGTGTGGGTGTGTGGTATATGTGGTGTGTGTGTGTGTGTGTGTGTGTGTGTGTGTGTGTGTGTGTGTGTTATATGTGGGGTGTGTGTGTGTGTGTGTGTCTGTGTGTGTGTGGGTGTGGTGTGGGTGTGGTGTGGGTGTGTGGAATATGTGGGGTGCGTGTGTGTGTGTGTGTGTGTGTGTGTGTGTGTGTGTGTGTGTGGTGTTGGTGTATGTGGTATGTGTGGAGTGTGTGTGTATGTATGTGCACACATGTACGAGCATGTGTATTTACCTTCTAGGCCTTAGTTTCCTAATCTATCAAATAAACGATTAGATGGTCTTACCTTTAATACTTCTCAATACTGAGAAGATTATTGGAACATGAACACCAAGATATCTTAACTAGATATCTTAACTAGTCCTCTCAGGAGTAGTTACTAGTTGCTGCAGATGTGTGCTAAGCATTGGGCTGGTCACTTCACATGCCTGCTCTTAGTTACCGTCTTGGATTCCCTGGGGGACATGCTACTATCCTCTTCTAAGAGACGAAGAAAACAAGACTTGGTTAAAACCACACACCTTGTAAGTAGTAAAGTCAGGATTTGAACCCAGAACTCTGGTTCTTATTTGTTTTTGTTTTGTTTTAAGGCAGGGTCTCATATATGTAGCCCAGGCTAGCCTTGAACTCCTGTTGATTTGCCGGAATTAGAGACAGGTGCCACCACACCCAGCTTAAGCGTTCTGGGTCTTAGACACTGGTCAGTATTGCTCACTAAGAAGAACCCAGAAGGAGGAAACATGCATGCCCCATCATTTCCAATCCTGAAGCATGCTGGGTTGTCTATACTTAAACACCAGGGCTCTACACCTGTCAAGTTCTCCTGACCGTTCCCAAGCTGCTTAACCTGTCCATTCTCAGTGACACCCAGCATCCAGGGGTCAGGGGCACCCCGCAGAGCTCCTGCCAACCTAGAAGTGCATGCTCTCACAACCAAGATGTACCACCTGGTTAGTGACGGCCCTGTGCCCATACCTAGTCCTGAGTGAGGAAGGCACTGCCCACTGGCCCAGAGGCTGGCTGGGTACAACCCTAGATGGTCAAACAGCCATCTCATCTCATCCTGAGCAGAAGGTTCCCAGGGGCACACAGGTCGCCCAAAGTATGCCCCTCCCCTCCCGGCCACTCCACACCCCACTCACCAAACCATGCCTGCTGCTCCCCCTCAACCTCTATGGCCAGGCCAAAGTCTGCCAGCTTCACAGCAGCACCCTTGAGCTTCGAGGCCAGCAACAGATTCTCAGGCTTCCCAGGACCAAGAAGGGAGAGATACAAAGAGGGGCCAAGAGATAGTCAGTAGGTTTGGAATCTCACCTGCAGCCTGGGCACACAAGAAGATCCTGGCTGAATGGCCCAGGATCCCACCCCCTCCCACACCTCCAGATCCAGGATCCTGAGTCCCTGGGCCCAAGAGGGGGACGATGGCAAGACCCTCAGCTTTTGCAACGGAATGATTCTTCCTCCCACAGCATCCCCAGGGTTGAGAGCTGAGGCTGAAAAGAGCTGAGACAGACTAGGGTGGCACAGCCCAGCCTCATTAAGAGAACAGCAGCATCTTTTAGTACCAGCACAGTATTGTGGTCCACCATCAACCTCCCACCAGTCACCCCAGAGACCTCAGGACATGTACTAGTCCTTGCTTCCCCCAATGACCACTTTCACCCCTCAAAACAGTCCTCTAGTCCCCAGCTTAGGGCCTTTGTATTGCCTGTACTCCCTACATGGCTTGTTCTCCTCCCAAATATCTCTGTCTTACTCTCAGACTCATGTCAGCCTTCCAAAGAGCTCTCTCTCACCAGTACCCCCCCCCCCCCAGCTCCTTTTGTTAACTATGTGTTATCATGTGTATAAAATGGAGAAAGCGGGGCTCTGAGGGATTGTGTGATTTATCACAGCTGTTAAATGATGGGTGTCAGAATCAAGGCAAAGGCTGACTCCATCCTAAAGACAGCGGGGCTTGGATGTGGGACCACGGTTGACATGGAGGATGCCCACAGCTGACACCTGGGGCAGCAAGGCTGCTGCCTCTGGCTCAGGTACCCAGATTTTTCCACTTCTTGCATCTTCCTGCCACCTTGAGACTCTGGACAAAGGGGAGCTAGGAGTATGGATTCCACGCTTTTGTCTTCTCTTTCCAGTGCTGCCACGGCTGTGATGGAACCCGGCCAAGTGAGTTCCCTTCTCTGATGGCTGGCTTCCTTTCAGAGAAAAGGGACAGATGCCTGTCTTGTAGCACCGTGTCTAGGTGTATAAACAGCCGTTCTGCTTTGTGAACACCAGGCCCCAGTGCTCGCACTTCCTGCTGGGGGCGGGGCTGAAGCACTCTGTAGAGACAGCTGGTGTCTGCTCTGGCTCTCACTCTCCCCCCAGCAGGACTTCCAGGGACCGCACCAGACCTTTCACAGTCCAAAGCTAGCATGGTGCAAAGAAATGAGGCCCTTCCACCTGGCTTGGTGAGGCCTCCTTCGTCCTCAGGGGCTGTGTTCCCAACATGTCCTGTGTCTTAGTAGTGTCCTGCCCTGATTTGACAAATGTACCCTTAATTAGCGATTCCGGAGTGGCCTAAATCTGGGCCGCTTCTCAGCTCTCCTGCTTCCTCTTTCCCGAGCATGGTCTGTTCCGAGAACAGACCCTTGGGGAAAGCCACTCTGCCCTCCTCGGACTGAGACCTTGTTCCTGAGTCCACCTTTTTGTCACCAAGGTAGAAGGAACTCCGCTGGGGCACAGCTGAGACCTCAAGGAGAGCCTGAGGTAATAAGAGCGAGCTAGGGAACCTTTTCAGAGCGCTGTGCCCTGAAGAAGGCTGGAGATTGGCTGGTTGCTGACCAGGGAGGGCTATCCTGATGGGAATGGGCATTGCTGCTCTGGGAAGCCTGAAGAGGATTCCTCGATGCCTCTGGGGCTCCCAAGTCCTTTGGCATTCCAAACTGGGGCTGCAGGCAGTATCCACAGTGAGTGTAAGCAGGAGTGTTCCTGCCAGGGCTACCCCACAGGATGTCCGAACAGTTGCTGATGACCAAGGTTCCTGGACACCCGGAACGTTTGTCTGTCCCAGAGCGGCTGCTGCAGAAGCTGAATTGGATTAAGCAGCTTTCTGGACCTACGCTGTGGGGGAGGGGTCACAGACTCTGGGGTGAATGCAAGCCAGGGATCCTTGTGCCCTGCTCAGACTCCGCTGAAAAGCATACCCTCGACAAAGCCCTTGGATTCTCTTGGTTTGTTTCCTGTTTTGTAAAATGAGGGTTCTATGAGTTACTGACTACTGATGCCATAAGGCAGACAGAGGAGATCCATGAGGTCCATACTTATTGGGCAAGGCCATGCAGCCCATGACAATGCTAGACTTCTCAGTGCTATCCCTTTCCTTCAGGTGGGCGAAAGGGGGCACAGAGGATCCCCAAGCCCTGTTTTCTTCTCCTCTGCCTGACAGAGACTCAGGAGCAAGAGTAACAGGATGTCTGTATCCCAGGGATGTCGTGCTTTCATTTGACAGACTCATCAATGGGGCAGAGGTTGCCATGACAACCCCTCTGTAGGGAAGCTGAGTCACCTGCAAGGTACTCCAGCCAAGGGGTTGGAAAGATGGCTCAATGGTTAAGAGCACAGGCTGCTCTTCCAGAGGACCAGGGTTTGAGTCCACATGAAGGCGTACAAACTGTCTAAATAACTCCAGTTCTAGGGGGCCCGATGTCCTCTTCTGGTCTCCATAGTCATCAGGCATGTGGTGTACATAGGCACACACACACATGTGATGCACATATACACATGCACTCCTACATGTTTAAAAAAAAAAAAAAAGCCCAGTAGCTAGCTGCCAGGCAGCAGACTGAGATCAGCTTCCTTCCCAGCCCACTGGGCAGTCCCAGTTCCATGCACCTCACCCTCACCTCCTGGCACAAAAGGCATGGGGCCTGGACCTAGCAGTCCTACCTCCCTGAACTCCATTTCCTGACCCGACAGCCTTGACAACTGGAAAACACAGCCACCCACCTCAAGGTGAGGAAAGTAAAGGAATTTGGGGAATGCAGAGCTGAGGGCCTGGGCTGCATTAACGGAGTTCCTTCCCCAGGCCCCCGGCGGCGGCGGCGGCGGCGGCGGAAGGAATTTGGGCGGTGCTTGCGCAGGGGGCTGGAGGGGAGTGCGGAGGCCAGGAGTCTTGGCTTCTCTAGGGCTACTCACCTTCAGGTCTCGGTGCACCACCCCCATCTGGTGACAGTGCAGCACAGCCTCCAGGATCTGCTGGATACAGTGACTGGAGAGAAAGGGGAGGGGGAGGTCAGGCCCCTCGGGAAGCTGACTGGAAGCAAGGATACACTCCCTCCGGGAGCCTCTGCCAGGCTGCCCCTGATACTCACCTGGCATCGGCCTCGCTGTAATACTCCCGGGCCACAATGTCCTCGAACAACTCCCCACCAGTGACCCTGGGGAGACAGGCATGGAGTCACCCTTCCACTGAGACTCCAGGGGCCACCTGACCTGGAGGAACCTTCTGGAAATCATCTGAGAAGGGCAGGGCGAGGGACCTTAGGATCTCAGCCCCCAAAGGAGGAACTGGATCGTGAATGTCCCTGCTGCCGCTCCCTTCCTGTCTTCTGACACAGCCCACTTTCCCTGACACCTCTCCCTCCTCTCATTGGGTCTCCACTGATGGGGACAGTAGCTCAGAAGCAGTCACTGGGTCCACGAGGCTCCTGGAGGCCCATGGGCCATTTGGTTTCGTTTAGCTTACTTGGTTCACTTTTCTATTTGTTTTTAAATCATTTTTTTTTTTTTTTTGGTTTTTTCGAGACAGGGTTTCTCTGTGTAGCTTTGCGCCTTTCCTGGGACTCACTTGGTAGCCCAGGCTGGCCTCGAACTCACAGAGATCCGCCTGGCTCTGCCTCCCGAGTGCTGGGATTAAAGGCGTGCGCCACCACCGCCCGGCCTTAAATCATTTTTTTTTAATGGAGTGGAAGCTATGGAGGCGATTTCTCATGTGCTCCTATCCCCAACATGTGCCGCTCCCCCCCCCCCCCCCGCCCTTCCTCAACATCACTGTGTTTTATGGACCAGGCCAGCATCCTCACGGATTGCCGCTGGCCAACCCAAGAACAGACGAGGCCTGTCATTTTGCTCCTGCTTTGACAAACTCGATTTCAAAATGAAACTTGAGATCACCACCGTGAACGGCAAGGCAGCATCACCGGCCACAAATAGAGACGCAAAAAATAAACCGATGATGCTAGTTGAATGTGTCTGGTGTTCTAAACAGGAAGACCAGCTTGCACGGCTTGGGGAGCGGCCCTACTGCATGTAGGGGAACTCTGGGCAGCCTGAGAGCATGCAGGATCCCTCAGACCAAAGAGTCCGTAAGGGTCATCCCTGCCTAGGCACCCTTCTCCCATGGCCCATTAGGGTGTGTGTAAAAAAAAAAAGACTTACAGATCGAAGATCAGGTAGTGGTGTCCCTCTTCGGAGATGCTGTCATGGAGCCGGACTGTGGGCAGGGCCAAGGCAGCTGGTTACACAGTGGTTCACTGCTCTCCACCCGCTCGCCCCCTGTCGGGCTCCTGGGGTTACCACCTCAACCCTCAGTCCCTGAGCACCAACCAGCTTTGACAAAAGCAAGTGGAATGGACTCACCACACCAAGACCTCCAGCATTACTGAAAGGGGACCAGGCGTAAAGACTGAAGACCTCCGTGGGTCGGCTTGGTCCCTCTCCCTGTCCTAACCCTCGGTTTCATAAAAGAGCCCTGCGTGCCAGTCTCTGTGCGTGCCAGTCTCCGCCAGAGACTGGCTGTGTGACGGTGGGTGGGCAAGTTGCTATGCCTCTCTGAGCCTCTTTTCTCCTTATTTAGACTTTGCTAGCTCGTTACATGAGTCCCATGAGGTGCACAGCCATACCCACTTGGTGCTGGCCCTGGATTGACATCCCTGCTCTGCTCGCAGTCTGAGAGACAATGGTGTTCCCGGGGCTGGAGTGAGAGAGACAGCAGTTGGTTCCTGAACTCTGATGGCTGCCAATTTGTCATCTCTTCACACCTCATTTACCAGGAACAGAGGCAAGGCTCCCAGGAGCCCAGAGCTCCCTAAATTGCTCAGCTTTTAAAAGAAGGGCCTGCGGCCTAGGACTGACTCTGGAAGCTCTGTGCTGTCAGCCAAGGACCAGGTCTCACAAGCTAGGGGCCCGTCCTTCTCTGTGTCATAGACCATCTGTGTAATTGGGGGGGTAGGGGGGGCTGGCTGGGACAATTAGGATCCTCCTGCACGATGGAAGTCACACAGCTGTTGGAATGACTCGGCGGTTCACCTGCTGGTTTGGAACCTTCTCCAAACTCTGTCATTTGGTGGAAAAGGAAAGTGTAAAGCTGTGGGGTTCTTTCTAAGAAGATGTTTGAGCTTAGGTTTGGTGCAAGTCTGTCTAGGAAGATGTAGAGAAGCGGACAACTGGGTTATAGGCCCCCTTCTCACTGGAAACCATAGCTAGCATCACTGGGTGTGTGCCAATGGCCTTGAGCTACAACTCAGTATGGAGCCCTTGAGTGGCTCATGGCCCTCAGACTCGTACATAAACTTGGTGTGCTGAGAGGTAATTCCTGAATGGATGCCCCAAGGGACAGGAGATAGCCACCAGAGATATAAGATGATGGGATGGGGTGTGGTTTGCACAGACATAAATGAAAATGTTAAGACCCTTTCCCTTTTTATATTGCTGGGATTAAACAGAGCAAAGGATGTGCTCTACCACTGAGCTGCATCCCCAGACCTTGGTCTGTTGCTGTTGTTGCTTTTTATTATTTGCTTGTTTTTAGAGAGGGTCCCCTTGTGCAGCTAGCGTCAGGCTAGCCTCAAATTCTCAGTCCTCCTGCCTCCCAAACACTGGGATTACAAGCATGTCATGTGCCTGAAACGTTAAGCCAAATGTGAAACGTGCGTTCTCTTTGAGAATTTTATTTTTGTTTGTATTTCTGCGTCTGTGTGTGTATGCGCCCATCAGTGCAGGCACCGGCAGAGTCCAGAAGGCCTCAGGTCCCCTGGAACTGGAGTTTCAGGTGGCTGTGTTGGGAACCCGAGTCAGTTCCTCTGCAAGAGCAGTAAGGGCTCTCTTAATTGCTGAGCCATCTCGCCAGCTTGTGAAAGCATTCTTAAACGCTGATAAGCTGTTACGGCTTTGGGTATGAAGTGTCTCCCAAGAAGGCTCATGTGTTAAAGACTTGCTCTGCAGTAAGCAGTGCTCTGGGGAGTGGCTGGGTCACGGGGACACTAACCTCACTCATTCGACATATGCTTCCATTGAGGAGTGCACAGATGAACGGGCTATAGAGCATGATACATGAATATCTTCTTCATGAATTCAGCTTCTCTTCCCTGTCTCAAACTATTCATTGAACTCTCAGGTTATGAATAGCCCCAACAAGGTTTCCCATCCTCTGGCATGGGCATGGACTTCTGGGGTCTGTCTATCACAAGTAGTGACGGCACCGCCCTCACCCAGGCAGGAAAAGAGGGATAAAAGGTCTGCAGACGCAGCTGGATCAGGCTGTGCTGAGATTCCCCACTCCCATGCCCTTGGACAGGGCAGTGGACACAAGCAGATAAGAGCCCATCCACCTTGCCTTGGATTTGCCAAGCAGGCTAAGATCTCATGAGATTTCTCCGGGCATGATGCCCTCTGGGCTTCTACACCACATCTATCCCATGTTAGGTTTCTCTTGCAAGATCACAAGAGCTTAAAGTGAACTGTTGGGCAGGGGCCAGGGCCTTTCCAGCTCCCCAGCAGTAGCTCATGGCTTCTGCTCCTCTGAAATTCTTCTGGCTACATGCTCAGCTCTGCTCCCCACAAGTAGCCATGTTTACTTCCGCCCTTATTTCTCCCGACAGCCTCAGTGCCTAGAAGAGGTCTGGACATATGGTAGAACCTCCAGCGAACTTGACATTGTGTGAATGAGGAGTAAACAGCACCATGGAGACAGGGAGAAAGGTGGTAACTCATTTCTGGGTTCTTGCACCTCAGCGTGTCAAGGTGTCTCCCCATGTCGATGGGGCAGAGCAATGGTGGTTGTGTGGGGTCACAGGTAAAACTTGTCTGCTGGGGGGATCACGCCAAAAAATGGCAGACTGGGGTCTGGGGCGGCTGAGCAGTGTAAAGCACATTCACTCTGTCATGGCATTATGCTCTATTGAATTACCATACCCAGCCAGGAAAGGCTAATTCTGCATTTCCAGGAAAGTCTGAATTTCAGAGTGGTGAGGCAATGTGTGTAGGGTCGGTCACACAGGAACAAAGCGGTGTTTGAGCTGCAGGTTGTTACCCCACGGCCCACGTACTCCCATTACAGATGGGAACGGGAGGGAGAGAGATGTAGCCTGGAGCACTGAGTTCAGACAGGTCAGCTGCAATGCCCGAACCCATCTAGATACATGTGTATGGGTGTGCACATCACACCCATACACAGATATCACATACAGACACCACACATGTACAGAGAGATACCACACATAGACATACATACACACAGATACCACACACACACACACACACACACAGAGACATAACATACACACACAGACATAACACACGCACACACAAACACTCAGAGACACACATACACAAAGAGACACACATATAGAAACATACGCAAGAGACACTACACCTACAAAGACACACACACACACACAGACACTCATACAGAGACACAGACACATGCACAAACACAGCGATATTACAAACATACACACACACACACACACACACACACACACACACACACACACACACACCAGCACATGTATACCACTGTCCTCCTCCCAAGCTGGCAGCCCCCTTGAGGACATGGGGTTTCTGTCAGAGCTCACTGACCGAAACCATCCATCAGCAGCGAGGGGTGGAGAACCCAGGTGAGCGGAGCATGGTCCAGCTAGGGGCCTCCTCCAGCTGCGCGGCCTTTGCCTCTTTGCTACTGGCCAGCCTGGCTGCTATGCAGAGGGGCGGGGCCTCTGGTATAAATAGCAGATGGAGCATTCTCCCTGGGGAGAGTTAACCCTTCCTGCTCTGTGGGAGAAGGTAAGGCCGTCGGAGCTGGAGCTTCCTCAGAGAACTCAGAGGCAGCTCACCTGAAAACAAGCCCTGGGAACCAGCAGCTTAGCTTCCCCTCTGTGAGAAGCTGCGAGAACTTCGGACACCTCAGCCCACCCACCGAAGCAGAAGCTGCCATGACACAAGACGCCCCCCGGTGAGCAGACAAGGGCAAGCGCTAGTGGAGATGAGGGGAGTGCCTCAGAGAGGGCGACTTCCCCACTAAGGTCTCACAGCTATTCCCTGACAGAACAGGACCTAACAGCCCCGCTCCTCCCTGACTGGCCCAGCCAGATGTGCAAGCCAGATGCACAGGAGGGGAAAGGGGCCGCGAGAGACAATGAAGTGTGTTTCGGGACCTTCCCTGTGGTCCTGCCTCCATGGACCAAGCATCTCCAGAAGATTGCTCTCAGTCTAACTCTGGGGCAGAGGCCGAGCTCCTGGAAAGGCGAGAGGCAGGCGGAGGAGGAGCAGGACTCAGAAGCAAGGACGGGGCCACAGATCCAGGCTGACACCGCATGGGGTGGGTGGGGGCGTGGGCCTTGATGGTCAAGGCCAAGCTTCCCCCTGGCCTATTTTCATCTTTCTTTTTCAGCTTCAAGAGCTTTCCTGAAACAGCTTTTCCGAAGGAGGCTGCTGGCAGCGTGGGAGGGAGGAAGGGTCCTTTTTTTTTTTTCACCTTCCCCCAAAGCAAGCTGGTCCTGAGCAAGACGCCCCCTTCCCCATCTCCCTCCACAGCCTCCATCCCCAGGGAAGAAAGTGACTGCTCCCTACCACCCCACACTGCTCCAGGACCCCCTCACACTCCCAGGGCTCACCGATATTGGGGTGCTTCAGCAAGCGGCAGATGCGGGCCTCACGCTCCAGCTTCTGGTGATCTGAAATACAGATTCCCACGTCAATCCCAGAGAAGTTAGACTCCCACCCTGTGTCTGTTATTCTTACCTCCCAGGGTGGCCCCAGGCACTGGAAAAGGTGGCCTATGTATCAGGGCTTCTGAGTTCCCATAAAGGGCAAGTGGGTGGTGATAGGGACCTAGATGAGTCTCTCTCCCTCTCTAGGCCTCAGTATCCAGGACTCCTCAAGGACAGCCTTCTCCAGCCCCCTCTTGTATGGCGAGGCCCAATCACCCGGAGGTCTGGAGCCCCGATCCAACTCCCTGTTGCTCCTCCAGGCCTGCCCTCAAACCCTAGCTCCAGGCAGATGAACTTCAGAATTTTCCCTTCCTAGTTCCCCTCTGGGAACCACCAGTCCACTGGCAGGGACACCGTATCACCAGCCATTGCTCGATCCTACCTCCCTTTAACGTCATTGGTTTCTAGAAGCCCACCCTGACTATAGAAGCCTATAGGGACCCTCCTCTGGGCTCCAGAGGGAGAGGCAACATCTTCATGTCTTATAGAACCTACATCCTTGGGCAGGGTCTCTGTTGTACCACCTGCAACTACTTGAATGCCTGGTACATGTTAGTTATTCAAGAAATCACCAAATGGATGGATGGATGGATGGATGGATGGATGGATGGATGGATGGATGGATGGATGGATGGATAAGTAGGTGGGTGGATGTATAGATTGATGGATGGGTGGGTGGGTGAGTGGATGGATAGATGGATGGATGGGTGGGTGGGTGGATGGATGGATGGATGGATGGATGAGTGGGTGGATAGGTGGGTGGGTGGGTGGATGGATGGGTGGATGGATGGATGGGTGGGTGGGTAGATGGATGTGTGGATGGATGAGTGGGTAGATGGATGAGTGGGTAGATGGATGGGTGGCTTGGTGGGTGGGTGGATGGATGGATGGGTGGGTGGGTGGGTGGGTGGGTGGATGGATGAATGACACAAGTTTCCTATGGTAGTTTTCTTCAGAAGAGCTGTACCCCAGCAGCCCCTCCATTTCATAGGACACTAGAACCAGGGACAGACATCTCCAAAGACTTATAGGGTGGAATTTGGTGTGTCTCTCCCTTGTGGCTGGCCCAGAGCTGCTCATCTGCCTGCCAAGACCTCTGTCCAAGACCCCCTGTCTCCCAGACACCTGCAAGAGCTCTGTAGAAGCTTTGTAGAAGCTCTGCAGCTTGTGTGGTTTCTACCTCAGGCTGCTGGGAACAATCGTAGCCACCACCTAGTCAGTGCCCATTTCACAGATAAGGACACCTGGCCCAAGCTGGTGGCAGTCTTGGGCCTGCAGTGGCCCTTGTACATTCTTCAATTCCCTTTGTGCTCTTCTTCCACACTTCAGTAGTTAATGCTTGAGTTAAATATTTAAAGGGAAATTGCTAGCAAATGTGGAATGGAGGTTTAGCATCTCTTGTCCAAAACGCTTAGAACCAGGGACCAAAAGTGTTCAAGATTTGGAGTTTGGGGATGTCTGCATATACATAACGAGTTGTCTTGGAAAAGGGATCACAGTCTAACCACAGAGTGTAAGTATGTTTATGCATGTGAAGCATACATACATATACTCTAAGGGTAATTTGACTTCAGTACATGTGCTGCCAAAGTTGGCACCTAAAGGTAATTTTATATGACATTTTTTCAGGGTGGTGTGCATAAAACCCAGTTTTTCCTGGTGTGGAATGTTCGACTTACTGGATGACATCCATCCTCAGAGTTTGGGTTTTCTAGTTGGAGACTCTCAACCTGTGTTTACTTGACGCCAGGCACAGGGCAGAGCATTTGTGCCCCTTTCAAGCAATCTTTAGGCCATCCTGTCATTTTTCTGACTTCACAGAGGAAGGAGGAGCTAAGGACCCAGTGTGACTGGAGTTGGATTTTAAACGCTATGTTGTACTGCTCTCTGGAACCCGACTCAGAACTACCAATTCCGCCTGCCTGTGCCCCGATGGGAAGTTGGGGCCCATAGAAGGACACTCAAATTACAGTCCAAGGCTGACCCAGGGCTATAACCTGACCACAGGATGGCCCCTCCAGAACAGGTGTGGTGAGGATGGAGAAAGTCCTTCTTTCCTCAGCTCCCTCCACTAGATCAATTGCTGGCTGCCCTCTGTGGGCTGCAGAAGCCAAGATCAATGCTACAATGTGGCTTTACCATCAGCAAAGCAATTAAGTTCAATTCTGGTTGATAGGCTCAGCTCCCCAGCTGAAAACCTGCTGCAGGCTGCAGGGACTGGGGATGGGGTACAAAGCCAGACTAGCTCCACATACCCTCTGCTCCCTCCCTCCCAGCCTCTTTCAACACCCTGAGGCACGGAATGCTGATTCCTCGGCAGAGGAGGGGACCCCAACCAGTCCCCTGCTCCATGTGCATTTCACCTTCTCCCACAGCAGAACCAAAGATCTTCAGAGGGAAGGTCCAGACTATCAGAAGGAATGGAATCTTCTGGCCCAGGCATTCAGAGGGAGAGGGTGCAAGTCTAAATCTGGAATTGTGCATGAGATGACCCAGGAATGCAGACCCACTGGCAAACTATATGGGGGGCGGGGGAGTGTGCGGCAAAACACTGGTCACAAACCCATCAACTCTTCCTGGTTACCAGACCTCCTTGCTGGAACTGCCAAATCCTTGTTTTTAAGACTCTGATGCCAGCTGCAGGCATAATACAGCTGCCCTGCCTGGTGACTTTCCCCGTTAGCCACACCCATCTGCTGCGTAGGAACAGAATGGTGTGCAGGATTTCCTAGCCCTGTTTGCAAAGTTTTCGTTTGCTAAAGCACTGAGACGCTCAGGTGCTATTGGGCCATGTTCTCTGGGCTGTTCTTGCTCTGCTGGGTAGGAAGAGAAAGTGAGGCCTGGTGATAAAGGGGTAGTCCTTTCTTCAACGTCACTGATCAGGACAGCCAAGCCCTTTCAGAACTTAGAGCTCTGAGGACCTCACTCTGGCAGTCAAGGGCTTTTTTTTTTTTTTTTTTTTTTTTTTTTTTTTTTTTTTTTTGGTATAAATAAGACCCTGCTGTTCCTGGGTGTCCAACAAACTAATAGCTTCCCAACGTGCTTACGATCCAACCCGAGGCCCTAGCTATCATCTTAGCCACGAAGCCCAGTCACACTGACTTCTTTCTTTCTGGCCTGGCATACACCATGCTTCTTTTTGTTTGTTTTGTTTGTTTGTTTGTTTGTTTTTCAAAACAGGGTTTCTCTGTGTAACAGCTCTAGCTGTCCTGGATCTCACTCTGTAGACCAGGCTGGCCTCGAACTCACAGAGATCCACCTGCCTCTGCCTCCCGAGTGCTGGGATTAAAGGTGTGCGCCACCACCGCCCGGCTCTACCGTGCTTCTTAGGACCTTTGACTCGCTGTGCTCCCGTCCCAGAGTGTCCTCCCTGGGCTTTCTTCTACTGCTTTCCTCCCTCCCCTGACAGATCCCAGCCCAAAGTCGCTTCCTCAGAGAGCTTCCCCAGCTGCCGTTTCTTAGAGTGTCCCTCTGCCTGTCACTTCTCCATCACCAGGTCTGACCTTCCTTTTAGACAGAGTCTCTCTATGCTATATCTCTGGCTGTCCTAGAACTCACTATATAGACCAGGCTGGTCTCGATCGTGTGCCACCATACCAGGCTGGTCTCGAACGTGTGCCACCATACCCGTCTGATTTTCTTGGTAACACTCCTCAGTTCTTCACTCTACCTAGTTTGTAGGTGTGTTTCATGTCTCATTCCCAAGAAAACAGGCCTAGTGGGAACACAGCCTTGTCCACTGGTTACTGCCAAGTTCCAGGGGCCTAACCTGGGGCTTCTGAGAGGCTTGTCCAAGCTCCTAGCACAGGCAAGCGGCGGAGCTGCATGTCAGTTCCTGCTAGTAACTGCACTGATCATCAATTAGCACATGACTCAGTCCCAGCCCACAATGATGAGACATCCAAGGAACACACCCTGCCGTGTACCTGAGTACATGGCCCCTAATACCCACAATGACACCTTTGGGGACCTTCATCCCACCTTGGTTGGGTCATCCTCAGGGTAGTGAGGCCAAATTGGAGACAGACTAGTTCCAGGAGCTAGACAGTCCCAGCAGGGCCAGACAGGGCCAGAGTCATCCAAGCACACAGAACACAGGGCTTTGCCTTAGAGAGGCTGGGCTCCTGCCAACAGGTGAACACGAGTTTGTGGCAGGAGGGATGAAGAATGGGGGAGGGTGCTGGGAGCAGAAAAGGCCCCTCCCCATCCTGAGATATGAGAGAAATAATCAGAAGAGCAGAGGTGCCTGGAGAGAGAGTGTGTGGGTAAGACAGACTCATGGGACCCCAAAGCCTCCAGAGGGCTCTGTAGTAGGCGTCTCAATGAAGCTCAGAGATGATGGCTGGCGAGCCTGTGCGGTGAGTCTGAGCCTCGAGCCTGAGAAGACCAACCCCTGACCACTGCACCAACCACACCTTTGTGCCCAGAGTCCCTAGGAGGTAGGTCCATAGAGCACCTGGTAGGCTCTGACCCAGAGCACAGGGCTGCCATCTACTCTGCCAGGATGTTTGGGGTCCAGGAGCCTGGACGAGACAATTCAACCCCAGGGGGGTGCAAGCTCAGGCAGTTACATTTTGTTTTTAAGACTGGCACTGGGGACCAGCGGGCATGTGAACAGGCAGCATTTTTATGTTTCATTTTATTTGCTTGTGGTTTCTTTGAATGACACCACGAAGGTTTTGTTCCTAAGAACTAATTTTAAAATACATATAAAAATATCTCCCGGAGTTGGGAACTACTTGCTAGAAGAGGCCATGTGCACGGGGCGTGCTAGGGGGAAGCAGAGCTTGCTGGGAGGAGCGGATAGAAGCCCTGGGTGGGTCCAGCTCCCTGCTGGGAGCAGCAGGAAGTCATCCCAAAGAGTCAGCAGGAGACGTTTAGAGAATAGTGTCATCTGTGACAGCTTTAGAGCCCCCTGTGGAGGCGAGTGACACACCGAGACCTGCTAAAGGAGTCTGCTCCCCTTCCTGCTCGGGGAGAGGGCTGGCAGGCGGCAGCAGGCGTGGAGAGAGTTACCTCATACCGCTCCCTGCGCCTAGCCTCCGAGGCAGGGTTACTTTCCTCCTGCCAGGAGGTCAAGGTCTCCACAGACGGTCAGAAAGAGAAGGCCTAGGTAGTAGCTGCCTGACACAAACAGGGAGAGGCTTCCCTGTCCAGGAATGCTTAGTCACCACCTTCCGGAACAGGAGTGATGGCCTCTGTCTCTCTATGCATGTCCCCTGAGACGGTGGGTGGTGAACCGATCCAAGAACCGGCAGCATCCAAGGTGATGCTCCCTTCTCATCTTCCTTCCCGATGCTCCTCTTGAGGACAAAACTTGACGTGGCAGGACCCTAACCCAGGGCTCTCGACCTGGGGGTCGCGACCCCTCTGGGGTTAGAATGACCCTTTCCTGGGGGTCGCCCAGGACTATCAGAAAACATAGGTATTTACATTGCGATTCATAACAGCAGCAAAATTACGGTGATGAAGTAGCAACGTCAGTAACTATGGATGGGGGTCACCACAACATGAGCAGCTGTATTAAAGGGTCTCAGCAGTAGGAAGGTTGAGAACCACTGCCCTGTCTCTATCTCCAGGCTCTCTCGGGAACTGAGGTACAACTAGGCCCATAGAAACAGAAGGCTGCTCCAGGCCTGTCAGCAGGAGGCAGCACTCTAGACGGACTTCACGCCCCCCTGGTTCCTCGCCTCCGGCTCTGACTCCAGACCTTCCGCAGGTCTGGCCTTTTTACACTAGGCACCCCAGCTGGGGACCCTGAGAGCCTCTCCTCCTTGCAAGATGCAGAGGAGTAAGTAAATAGAGCATTGTGGGCCAGACAGCAGAGCTGGAGACAAAAGGTAGCAACCACAGGCCAGTCCGGGGCTTGCTGGGAGGCCCACGGAGAGCAGCATGAACGCCCTGTACAGCATTCACAGAACCTTCCTAAGCCGTGCACCTGCTGGGCCCTCGTCCAGACTCAGCCGCGGTCTATCAAACACTTAGATGCTTTACTTCTCTCTCCAGCGATTCCGCGCGCATCTCCCCCAACGGAATTCTCCTCACACCAGTCTTCAAGGCATCTGTTTGGGGTGGATGCTGGCTTGCCATCACCCACCACTGTCCTAAACACACAGGAATAACCAGGAGTCTTCTGGGCAGAGTTCTTAAACTCCAGTGCCCCCGGGCATCTTATTAAGGTGCAAGTTTGACTGTGTGGGGCCTGAATGGGGGGCCATTTCCCAGGAAAGCCTGCTGTGGCGGCGACTGGCTGGGATCATTTTAAGGTTGGGGGTGGGCGCTAAAGTCCTGAAAGCTTCTGAAGCTAGAATTGGCTGGATGTCCTTTTCAAAAGCAGGCCACACCTCAGAGCACCTATTCAAACACCAGTGTGGGGGGAGGAGCAGAGCCACAGACAGTGCTCTGCCAGCACAGAGGCCTGGCGAGGGTGCTGTCCTGGGTGCTGAGCACAGAGCAGTGGCTGAGTCCTGGCCACTCCGTCGGGACTCACCGTCACCACGGCCCAGGGACTGAACAAGGAGCCAAAGTGGTGAAACGGAATGAAGTGAGCCAGGGGAAGGCTCCGTGGAAATAAGAAATAGTAGCAAGAGAAAAAAATGGAGACTGAGGAGAAGGCAAGGAGACTGCTCCGAGGACGTGACCCTGAGTAGAGATCTGGAAGGAGGAAAAAAGGGCTGCCCATAAAAGGAGCCAAGCTAAACACTCGGGCAGAGATACAGCAAAGACAAAGGCTGGGAGACAAGCCATGAAGGGCATGGCAGAGGAGAAGGGGGAGGGAGTACCCCTGAGGGCTCGACCTACCTGGGAGACCCTGTAACCTCTAGCCTGGATTCCCCGAGGAAGGAAAGCAAAGGGTCTATTCTCATCACACTCTCAGAAGGAAGAGCCTCCCAGCCTGCCAGCAGGGTCTCCCAGAGGTCAAGCTTGGAGTTCGGGTCTAGGGCAAGGACGATGGCAGAGTAGGGAAGCTGACAGTGGGCGGGCAGCACAGAACCTACCTCTGGCTGAGAGCTTCTTGGTGTTGATAATCTTGGCAGCATACTCCTGGCCAGCCAGCACCTTCACACACCTGCGCACCACGGAGAAAGCTCCCCTGGAGGACAGAGAACACCACCATACAGTGAGGGAGCCTGAGAGCTGTATCCCCGGACTACCAAGAGCTCCTGGACCTATATGGTACTCCTGGACCTATATGGCACTCCCGTGCCTATATGGTACTCCCGTGCCTATATGGTACTCCCGTGCCTATATGGTACTGCTGTACCATACAGGAAGGGACCCACCTATGTCACAAGAGCTGAGGACCTGGCTTAAGGTAGCATTGGTCAGGAAGATCCAGAGAGGGGCCCAGATCCTTGGCCTCATGCAAGATGAGCCTTCCAGCTCTATAAAAGTTAGGTCACCAAGTTATAAAACATTAGACGCCTGGAGTGAGAACCACAGAATCTAGGTCTCCGAGAATCTTCAGAGCTTTGTTCTTTGAGCAAGTAATACATCACATAGCTCCGAGTTCAAAAGAAGTAAATATGTAGACCCTGAAATGTCCAGCCTCCACGCCCAGGTCCCAGCCTGTGCAGGGTCCTCTTCACCAGGGCCTCTGTTGCTGGGGCCTGGAGTCCCTCCTTGCAGACCCTCCTCTCACACAGCACCAGGTAGGGACACCATGCTGTTTTCTCCTTTCTGCAGTTAACTTTGGTTTTCCTTTGAGACAGGGTCTGACCATGTAGACCAGGCTGGCCAAGAACTCAGATCCACCTTCCTCTGCCTCCCAAGTGCTGGGATTAAAGTCATGCGTCACCACACTCAATGGAGTTAATGTATTTTGAAGGCCCTCTTTCATAAATGGCTCTTCATTACATAATACATAATTATATGACTGTCCTATAGCCTAGTGGCTTGGACAGTTTTCTCACTGAAGTCCCCTATTGAAAGGCAGCTGGGTTAGGGTCAGTCTCTAGCTATTAGAAACAACAACCCAATGACCCTGTATGTGTGCATTAGAATTGAGTTAATCCTAGCACCCTGAAGACAGAAGCAAGCAGAGGTCTCTCTCTCTCTCTCTCTTTCTCTCTCTCTCTCTCTCTCTCTCTCTCTCTCTCTCTCTCTCTCTCTGAGTTCAAGGCCAGCTTGATATACCTAGTGTATTCCAGGACAGCCAGGGCTACATAGAGAGACCCTGTGTCAAAAAAACAAAAACAAACCAAAAAACATTGCATTTCCTATGCATGCCTGAGTCTATGGGATAAGCCCTATGTACTGGTGTTTTTTGGTTGATAATGAAGCTGTATGAACTTATTTTCCCAATAGTATGTGTTATGGGTTGAATCTGAAATGTCCCCACAGATCTGTGTCTTGATTCCTGTTTCCCAGCTGCTGGCACTGTTTGGGAAGGCTGTGGAACTGTTGGAAAGTTAGGTGTGGTTAGCAGAATTAGGTCTCTAGGGCCCAGTCTTTGGAGGGCCCACCTAGCTTTGGATGCAGCCTTGTTCTCTTCCTCTTCTTCTTCTTCTTCTTCTTCTTCTTCTTCTTCTTCTTCTTCTTCTTCTTCTTCTTTTTGTTTTTTTTTGAGACAGGGTTTCTTTTTATAACAGTCTGTCCTGGAACTCAGTCACTCTGAAGATCAGGCTGGCCTTGAACCCACAGAGATCCATCAGCCTCTGCCTCCCTAGTGCTGGGATCAAAGGTATGTTCCACCCATCCTGGCTGTTCTCTGCTTCTTGATCTGTCATGATGTGAACAGACTATCATGTGCTGCTACTTCCACGAACTAAGCCACTCTCCGTTGTCAAAGCACTGAAACCCTCTCAAACCGAAAGCCAAGGTGAATCTTTCTCCCTGAAGTTGCTTCTGTCAGGTAATTTCACCACAGACATACAAAAAAAATCACTAATATAGTATATATACACGTATATATGTGTGTGTGTGTGTATGTATGTATGTGGGGACCAATTTTCTCTGCCTTTGTTAATATGGTGTGTTACCAAGCTTTTTTGTATTTGCCAGTAGGAGGGGTAGGAAATGCCTATTTGGTGCCGATTCAGTTTTGTATGTGTGTGCTGCGTGCACATGAGTGTGCTGAGCCATGTGCTTGTGCAAGCGCTAAAATCTTTGCCTTGTTGCCTTGAGACACGGTCTTTCACTGAATTGGGAAGTGGCCACTCAGCTACGCTGGCTGTCCATCAAATTCTCAGGATCCTCCTGCTTCTGTGCCCCCCAACCCCCAGTGCTGGGAGTAAAAGCACGTGCATCAGCGTTTGGCTCCTTGTTTCAAAAGAGTTTGAGCAGAGAACCAAAGAAAACTAGTTTGAGGGCTGGATCTGAGCTTGAGCTGCCATTTTTCATGGCACTTCGTGAAGACCATCTTGTCAACCACACTCACACCACAGAAGAGACTTGTAAGGGGTGTCACCATCATCCCTGTCCTCACACGAGTGACCAGAACAGAGAGCCTAGGAAGACTTCTTAGATGCAAGTGTGCTACTATCATATGAATCATCCAGACACAGTGCAAAACCATAGTTCAGAGGCCTCCTGTGTGGAGTGGAGATCAAGATGCTGAGCTCCAGTGCTCAGCTCCATGTAGATTGCTCAAGTTCACACTGCACATTACAAGCAGAGCTGCATCCGGGCCCCAAACATTTGCACTTGTGGGTTTTTGACGCCTACACTGAGTACCCTTCAAACTTCCTATTGACCATGCTCAGCTCCCAATAGCCTCCAAACCTCCACCCCCACACCTAAGATGATGAGCATGCCCATGCCACAAGATGATTAGATGACTGCTGTGAACCCTATTATCTGGAAAGCTGAGTCATAATCTCTCTTCTTGCCATTAACATGTGAAGCAGGAGCAATTGCTAGTAGACCCCAAGGAAGCCTTCAGTCCGGCATAGACCCCAGATGAGCACACTCTAGCCAGCTCAACACAGGGCAGCGAAAAGTAAGTGGGTGGGAACTGGCAGAGAAGGACAAGGAAGAAAGGAATGGCTAGAATCATGTGTATACTGAGGGCCTCACACAGTAATAGGTCTTCCCTGGGATGTCGAGCTCTACCTATTCTTTACCAGTAAGAAAGGAGAGAGACCCCAGTCACTTCCTTGAGACACTACTTCTACTACAGGATCTCCACTATACTCCATGAAGGCCCCATATAGGGAAAGTTCACTTGCTATTAGCCATCCCCCACAATACTGGCCACCAAATAAAGGTGGTTTCTTTTATGCCAACCTTCGCCAAATATCTGACAAGTCAGTTATGATGCTATCTAGAGTTAGGGCAGGTCTACAGGTTAAGGGCTCCATTCTGCAACACCATGCCCTTCCTTCAGATGCCAGCTGTAGGAAGTGGTTCCCCAGGCTGCCCATACTCCTGTACAACTTTGCTAACAATTGGAAGTTCTTACTGCTGTTCTCAATTTGGAGGATTTTCTATGATAGCTCAGAGAACTCAGGAAAACACGTTTGCTAGTTTGTTATACAATATCAGACATGGTGAAGAATACAGATGAGCAGCTGTAGAGGAACAGAGGCCAAAGCCTGGGGGATTTGAGCACAGCTCTACGCCCCCTGGAGCTGAGATGTGACACTCTGCTGCCACTTGGATGTGTTCGCTGTCCCAGATGTGACCTTACCCCTGCCTGTAGGGTCTTTGTAGAGACTTCATCATGTAACTGTGACCAGTCACTAACTTGATTTCCAGTCCTCTCATCTCCCTGGAGAGTGAAGAATGAGGCTGAAGGTTCCAAGCGTCCAATTAGCGCTCGATTTTTCTGATGGCCTCCTCCATACAGAAACCCACAATGAGTCACCCCATAAGAGCCAAAGATGCTTCTAGCACCTGGAAATCCCAGGGGAATTAAGAGTTTTTGTGTCAGGAACTGGGATCAGAGATCAAATATGAGAACAAAAATTGCTCCAGTCGCCCCTATTACTCAGGAAAATGCAAGAGTTTTAGGAGCCCTGCACCAAAAGCCAGATAAGAAGACCTGAAAGTGTATCATATTCTATCAGTCCCACCTGACCCTTGTGGGGGCTGCTTACCCACTTTCTTGTCTCCCCCACCCAACTAGTGATTTCCTATGACTAGCACTTGGTACCTAGTACTTCGTACCCAACACTCAGCATCTGGAACCTAGCATCTAGCACTTGGAACCCAGTGTCAAGTACCACTAACTAGCACCTCCATAAACAGAACACGCAAGATCAGATAGTGATTTTAAACAACAGGGAAGGGAGCAGAAATGAGGCAGGAAGGAGGATTTCAGTCAGGAGCGTTGGGGACAGAAATAGGCATTTGAAGACAAAGAGACAACTGATATTTCAGAGGCATCCATCTTACCTAGGTAGGGGAACGGGCCTGAAAGCCATTACTAGGTTCCTGCCCAGCTATAGGCCTTGATTTCCATGATGCCTTAAAGGGGAAGTCTTTCAGTGGCCTCATCTGGGAAGGAGCAGCCTAGAGACGGTAGGGCCTAGCCTTGTTCACCGGTACCAGGCCCACGGTGGGTTCACAGCTAGACCTTCTTAGTGTGAGTCGGGTGGATGCAATCAATTCAATTGCGACATTCACACACACACACACACACACACACACACACACACACACACACACACACAGAGAGAGAGAGAGAGAGAGAGAGAGAGAGAGAGAGAGAGAGAGAGAGAGAGAGAGATTAACTCTCTCCTCTGCAGGCAGTTATTTCCTATCCTATTTCATGGATATGAAATCAGCATTGATGGGGCCACTGAATGGACTCTGCAGGAAGCTTCACGGAACCCAAGGAGCAGGGGCCTAGGAGCTACCTCTACTGAACCAGACCAGTCTCTCTCTCACTGAACGGGAACAGCACAGCTTTCCTATGAGCTGGGGGTTGCTACTCGGGGACACTGAGCCCCCGAAGGACATCCTGAGCACACCACCCATGGGCAGAGATGCACAGCCTTCCTCGGGTACTCAGAGGAGGCACTTCCTGAGTCAGGACCCAGCTCCTGACCCCAGGCTACAGATACTCTCAAGCCCAGGTACTGCTGGAGTCCTTTTGATCCCACAGCAACCTGAAGAAATCAGAGCCACACTTCACAGATCCAGAAACTG